TTTCCTGGGGAGTCAGATTTCCCTCATCTGGAAATCTTCAAAAAGTTAAATACAACAGTAATTTTTAGCTCATTCATTCAAACATATTCTTAGCACCTCCTATGTGTTTTAGATAATGTGCTAAGTTGTAGGGATACAGAAAGAGGAGCAAGACAAAAATCTGTCAAGTAGAGGGAGACTGGATAAATTATTTTAAAAAACAATGTATAGAGAGTACTTAATGATGAAGTGAATGAAGGAGAGCTAAAGTCACCAACTTATTTCCAATAGAGTAGAACTCATTACATGCTCCTGATTTTAGCATGCTGATAAGGTAGTCAGATATGCCACATAAAAACAATAAGTGATCTTTCTCCTAAACATTTTGAGATAGACAGAAGAAACATGAGGAAATGTTGAAACTTTTGTCTTTGATAAAGACAAAAATATTCTATCGTTTCTTTGGAAACTTATTTTGGATGACTGACACCCTCTAAAATCCAGTTTGGGGAGGACTAAGGTACTGCAGGCCAGAGTTTGTTCAGTGATCTCATATAACGACTACCCAGAGTATAGTCATCCCTCTTTAAGAGGCAGCCTTCAAAATGAGTTGTCAAGTTGCCTAAGGACCAATACGATTTTTATGTAACATGGAAGACCATCTAAGTCTTCCAAATCACTGATTTTTTTAAAGCAGTGCTGTCTGATAGAACTTTCTGGGACAGTGCAAATGAAATGTGTTTTATAGCTGCACAGTCCAAGTCCAGTACAGTAACTACTAGTCACATGTGGCTATTGGGCACTTAAATTTTGTCCATGAGACTGAGGAACTGATTTTTATTTTTATTTTTAAAATATTTTCATAGTTGTAGAAGGACACAATACTTTTATTTATTTATTTTTATGTGGTGCTGAGGATTGAACACAGTGCCTCATACATGTGAGGCAAGCACTCTACCACTGAAGCACAATGCCAGCCCTGGTTTATATTTATTTTTTAATGAATTTATATTTAAATAGCCAGATGTGGCTAGCAGCTATTGTATTGGATAGTGCAGCTCTAAAACCTAATAATCCAATTATGAATAAAATAAACTCTGCTTTATTTATGTCAAGGAAAGGAAAAGTGGCATCAAATTAGCTTTGGAGTACAACTCCTAAGGTCAAGACAAATTATGGCTGCCTAAGTCAGTAGCTTTCAGTGGGAATGGTTCAATCACAGCTCATGTTGCACTACAGTGGCATAAAAAGACTGTTAAAGTTAAAGGTCTAATGGGAGATTCTGAAGGAGGGTCTTCAAGTTCTATTCTACTGAGTTTTTTGTTTTTTTTTTGTTTATTTGAACTTAGTTTTCAGAACTATACAAGAAATGTGGGAAGCACAAAACAAATCCAAACCATGTCCCTTTGTTTTGCTATGACAGGTAGATATTGAGAGACTGGCTGCTATTTGTATGTTGCTGCTATTTGTCATCTCTTTTCTGGTCACCATTAGCCACTCTGGCAACCTGTAGCTTGTTCTGTGTTTCATACCTTCAGTCATCAGTTGTGTGGGCAGCCTACAATATTCTGGTTTTACATTTTATTGTCCTATTAATTTGACACCATCTAGTAAACATTTTTAATCTCTTTCACTTCATTTTACATTTTCTGGTCAGCACATCCAACATATTTAAAGAAGAAAGATTATATTTAGGGGGAGAAATAAAGAAGCTTCACAATTATTAAGAATATCTATATACCAAGTACTTTTACTATTAATCCTACAAAGCAGATGATACCATTCTTCATTTCAGATGAGGAAACTGAAGCTCAGGGATTTTAAAAGCTGGCCCACAATCATGCAGGTGGGTAGTGACACAACTATGATATGAACTTGAATCTCTCTGACCCCTCCCAACCCACCTTTTTTCTTACTGTGTCACACTGCTTCTTAAGCCCATTTTACAGTGTAATTTTTCAGAAATAAACAGTCTTAGTTTTTCTAGTCATCTTCTGCCTTATTAAAAAAAAGGAGTAGAAAAGAAAGAAAGAAAGTGGCTTTTATGACACAATTCTGGAATATGTGAAAGGATTTACAGCTATTACAATGAGAAGTTTTTGATTCCTTTCAGTTTTTAAACACATTAAAAAATTTTTTTTTGGCTTCATGAAATGCTGTTTATTTTTCTCTTCATCTCAAGCCTGTTAATCAGGCTTTCAGACTCAATTGGTGTGGCAAAAGGTCTGCCATTGTGATGGTCCATGTGTAGAACGTGGGTGGGGACTTTCTCAGTGTTATAGTTTGAGTGTGTGGTACACCCCAAAGGTCCTGTGTTAATGGAAGAATGAGCAGAGGTAAAATGACTGGATTATGAGACCTGTAACCTAATCAGTCCATCCTAGTTTGAATGAAATGGGTGGTTACTATAGGCAGGTGGGGTATGGCTGGAGGAGGTGGGTCATTGGGAGTGTATCCTAGAGAGACATATCCGTGGCCCCTTCCTCCAAACACATACATTTTTTAAAAAGTTACCAGAGCTTTAAAATTATAAAAATGTACTCTAAAGGGGTGGTTTAAAACTGCATGCAAATGATTTGTTGAAAGTATTACAAAAGGCAAGTTCCAAATGCCATGGCAAGTACTTAGGAAAAACAACAACAAATTAAAAAACAAAAAACCCTCAGCTTGTAAAACTGAGGGAGTGAACCCTATCCATTGCCTTTTCAAAGAAGCAACTAACTATGTGTTAAAGTATATAACTACTTAGGCACTTAACATTTTATGGGCATCACATACTTTAAAAAGTAAAACAACAGGTGGAAAGAAAACTACCTTTTTGGTAGGGTATCTATAACCTTATAATTTTGCACTCTAAGTAACCATAATTGTTGTTTTTTTTTTTTAAATCTTTTGTATTTTTTATTTTTGGTAAAAGGGATTGAACCCAGGGATGCTTAACCATTGAACTACATCCCTAGTCATTTTTTGTTTTTTATTTTGAGACAAGGTTTTCCTAAGTTGTGGAGGCTGGCTCTGAACTTGTGATCCTCTTGCCTCAGCCTCCCGAGCTGCTAGGATTACAGGTGTGTGCCACTGTGCCTGGCTGTTTCTTAAAATCTTAAATTTAGTGTCTGAAAGACAACTTTAAAAAAATAAACCCATCATAGCCCCTTCAGTCCTTTAGTCCTTTATGTGAATTTACTTATTAAGAGTATTTTAGGGCTGGGGCTATAGCTCAGCAGTAGAGTGCTTGCCTAGCATGTGTGAGGCCTTGGGTTTGGTCCCCAGCACCACATACAAATGAATAAATAGAATAAAGGTATTGTGAAAAAAAATTAAAAAAAAAAGAGTATTATAGTCTAGTGGCTCTAACCAACGAGGTTCCAATCTTGGTTCAGTCCTTACTGGTTTTGAGACTTGAAGGTTCTACGCTTCATTTTCTACTTCTGAAAGATGAGGACAATAATTCTAGGTAATTGTGAGGATTGAATGAGATAATATATATAAGGTACTGAGAATACTCTTGGAAATAATGCTCTAGTTTTTCAACCTGTCTTTGTAATTGAAAAGACAATGAGATAAAATAATCATTTTAAACTAATTATGGTTAATGAAAATTTAAATAAAGATGCCATAAAATATCTCACAATTAATAAGAAGTCGATATTTTCCTAAGAACATCATGAAAGAAGTTTTGGTATAGTAAGAATATCTATAATATAATTCCTAATATATTATGCTGAGGACATACAGTAAGAAAACAATAAAACTTTCATCTTTTAATATGTTTCATAAAATATAAAAGAATGGGAAAAGTTCAATAAGCTATTTGACTAAAATAATCTATTCAAACTGGAAAATGGTAACCAGAACACTCCCTCAGTTCTACCCACCTTGGGTAAACTGTAATATATTTTACCCTACTCTCAAATCATATAAGGTTTCTGGAACTTTATAATGGAAGTCTTTTCCTTATAGGATATGGGTTGGTATGACTGAGTTTCACAAAAGGAGATATTAGAATATTTATCCTATAATATTGGTTCAACATTTTGGCCTTCTTAAGGACTACCTTACTTCCAAGTACACTAGCTGATCTCCAAATGATTTTTCCTTAAAATAACTTGATGGAGGAAAAAGACAAAGAAGAAAAGAGATGAGAAACTTGGTAAAAGAATGCTTCAATGACATATGCCAGCTGTTTTCAAACAGGGTTTAATGATATATATATATATATATATATATATGACTGCTTAAGTATCCCTCAGGTCTGTTCACCATTCCTTTTGCAACTATCTCAGTTGAGGCCTCCTTTTTTCATCTCTTTCTGTGGTTCTGCAATAGTATCTCACTACCAGCTTTCCTGCTATCACAGAATACAGTCACATAGAGCAGATTGCAGAGAAGATGTTTTAAAACACAAATCTAGTCATATTAGAACTCTGTTTAAAACCCTTTGATGGTTCACTATCACAAACAGCAAAATGTTAAAGGTTTTGGACAGGCATTATATTATCTAACTCTTCACCTCACATTTCAACAACATTAAATGGTTGTGGAACCCACAGGCACCCAACTATTTTGCATCTCTATGGTTTTGCTTATATAATTGCCTCTGGGTTGGAATATTTCTTCCTTTAAATCAGTTAAATCAGTTCAAGAATTATCTCCAGGAAGGCATCTTTTGACACACTTCTCCATGTAATATAAAACATATCCTATATGTATCTCTATAATTGTATTTACTACATTATACCAAATTCATTAATAAGTTCACTTTGTCCCATGTGAATGCCTCAAGGCAAGGACCATGTTAGTATCTTTAGCACAAGGCACAGGATTCATGTTAGTGGGTGTATAAGACAAGCCTGGTAAATCCTAGAACTTTTTTAATTTTTTCATCAGATGTGAGTTAAAATTTATAACTCCAATGGTCCAACTTTTGCTCCATGGAGCAATAAAAATCATCTCTCCCTGAAAATAGAACATTTGTCTAGTACATAAAAAGGCAAAGTTTAAATTATATGATTTGTACTTACCTAAGTTGCTGTATGTTGCACTACAAGGGTTCAGGTCCATAGGATCTGAAGTGTCTTCTTTTTCCTCTTCCCTTTCCAGGTCAGGGGTGGGCAGTGCTGCTGTGACTGAGATGCGGCCCCCGACATCTTGTTTGACAACAACAGTTCTTGGATCCCGTGGAGAAAATTCTTCTGTCACTTCATGGGTCACGTGACTGAAACAAATCAGACTACCTGTCACACTGGTACTCAAAAGTTCTGTTAAGAGCTGGGGTGGGCTGGGGACATAGTTGGTAGAGTGCTTGCCCTGAATGCGCAAGGCCCTCGGTTCAATCCCCAGCACCACAAAAAAAAAAAAAAAAGGGAAGGAAAAAAAAAAAAAGAGCTGGGGTTGTGGCTCAGTGGTAGAGCATTTGCCTCCCATGTGTGAGGTACCAGGTTTGATCTTCAGCACCACATAAAAATTTTAAAAAGAATTGTATTGCTTCTAAAAAAAAAGTTCTGTTAAAATTTACATATACTTCCCATAAATGTAAATAACTAGTCCTACAGTCTCAACAATGGGTCATAAGCTCCAATATACTTGTTTGAATACACAGAAAAGTGCTACATCCTGTCTATTACTTTATTTTTCATGATTCATACATATTGAGAATCCAGTTTGGTAGAGAAGATATGGTAAACTCAGAGAAAACTCCATAATAACAGTCAAGGAATAGAATAACTTTAAAAAAATATCTATTTTTTAGTTGTAGTTGAACACAATACCTTTATTTTTATTTTATTCATTTATTTTTATGTGGTGCTGAGGATCAAAACCAGGATCTTGCATGTGCGAGGTGAGCGCTCTACCACTGAGCCAAAATCCCAGCCCCAAGGAGTAGAATAATTCTTAAAGGCAGGAGGTAGCAATGGTGAGGCAGAACTTATTTGGTTAAAGAAAATTATACTGACATATGTAGTAAAACACTTAGCCTATTTACTATACTATATTTATTATCTATATGATACTATGCTAATACTATAGTAAATAACAAATACTTTATAATATTTTCTTTACTTAGGATATGGTATACACTAAAGTATTTACTCAAGTACTTAATAAAGCACCAGGGATAAAGTTGAAATTAGACTATGCAAATAAGGAGTTGAAGCAACTGTTTTGGTAGGTAAACTGAAGCCAGGAAGGTCTTATTGTTAGGAGGATAGAAACATTACCCTTTGCTTATATGCATGCAGCAGGAAAGGCAGACAGAAAAGAAAGTTCTGCATTCTAGGATAAGCTCATTTATTAAAATGAATCTGAAGCATCTTCTGGCCACAAATCAGTATGACCAATCTTGTCTTATCATTGCTTGCTCATTTACTTATATAGCTACCTCTTCCCATTCTTCCCACTCTCCAAATGCCAGAACTGTGCCAGTTCCATTGCTATGAATACAAGAGGATCAAGCTGTCATGAAAAGCTGGTGCAGAAAACTGGTCCAGTTAAAATAATCTCAATGGGTTGGTCAATAAAATAAATTCAAAATCAGGCATCTTCGAAGGTTTCTGGGTTTCTGAAAATATATTCCTAGACTATCACACTCATTAGCTCTTATTCTTGTTTCTTTGTGAGCAAAGAGAAAGAAGGAAAAGAAACATCTTATGTATTAGTACATATTACTTCTGGATTTTCCATTGGCAAGAGTGATGTTGACATTTATAAGTTTCTTTAAAAGAGGTACTTTGTTGACCATGTATCATCAGAACATAAATTACCTACATATTTAAGGGAGCAGATCTGAAGGACAAGGAGTACCTTCTTATCAATATTTCATTATGAAAATTATAATTATGCCTGAACAGAAAAATAAGCCTTGAAATCTGCTGGATATATAACTTCAAAAGTCTTCTTTCAAAGTTGGAAGAACCAGAGGTCTCTCTACAACCAGCAGCAGACAATGAACTGGAAGTTCCATTATGGAATCCAGCTCATAGGGAGAGTGGTGAGGTAGAAGCAATCACTCCACTATAGTCAAGGGTAGTCTGTGTAAAGGAGGCCTTACATGGGAAAGCAGGCTGCCTTTTCTCAATGGGCTGCCTTAGGTCATGAACACAAAAAAGGGTTGGGATTGTGGCTCAGTGGTAGAGCGCTTGCCTAGCACGTGCGAGGCACTGGGTTCGATCCTCAGCACCACATAAAAGTAAATAAATAAAATAATAGTATTGTGTCCAACTACAATATATGCAATATATATATATATATTAAAATATATATATATATTTATATATATATATTAAAAAATATATATATATTAAAAGGACTCCACACAAAGCAGGTATCTCATGATATGGAACACCATAAAATCAAGGTAACAAAGGGCTCCACTCTCCATGCATTAGCAAAGACAAAGCAAAGCGACACTTCAAGACATTCTCAGAGGGGGCTGGGGTTGTGGCTCAGTGGTAGAGCTCTTGCCTAGCATGTGTGAGGCGCTGGGTTCCATCCGCAGCACCACATAAAAAAATAAAAAAATAAAGGTATTAAAAAAAAGACATTCTCAGGCATCACTTAGCATCAAGACTGTATATCATGAGTAGTTATCAGGATCTTCAGGAGAGAGTAAATGTTCTTTGCTGGGCAAGTCAATATTAAACCCATTCTAATTTCAAAGCAATAAATGAAGTGATTTAAAAATACCAGTTCTCCTTTGAGAGGAAAAATGTTAAAGCTCCAGTGATTCTCTTCTAGTTTTAGTGTCAGCTTTAGAGATTTCCTAAAAAGCTGTTTTGGGGTTCCTAATTTTTGCAATCTTGCTCTTACCATTTTTATTCTTTCCCCAACCTCCTGATTATTACTAAAAGAAAGCTCTCCTTTGGATTTGTCAAAAAGGTTGGTGAAATCTTCAGATGTCATGACTCCTTTCTCACATGTCTGTTTTCTTCCCAAGCAATAGGCTATTTGCAAGGAAGTTCAGTTATTGTGAAACTCCTGAAAGAGCAGCTGCTGTTAGCCTACGAGGAATTCCCTGGGCCTGCTCCACATGTATGTAACACAGCTCTGTGCTCTGAAGGCCTTGGCAAAATACAAATGCTAAAAAGCATGAAATATAAAAGACTCACCCACTGTACTCACTCACACAATTCCCCATTAAAGAAAAATTTCACAGGGTCTTCTTGAATCTGTTAATCATGTTCTGAAACTTTGATGAACCAAAGAGTCCACGGTGTTCTGCAGAGCTACAAGTTGGGCAGGCTATAGGAAGAGTTTGAATTCTGCACCTTAACATCCACTGCACCTTGACCTTTACATTAGGGGTTTGGTCTGGGAAACGTGCCAAATTACTCTAGGGAGCTAAGCAAAGTGAAAGCTAGTTTTATTAACTCTTTGAGGATCAGGATAACAGAGCCTACATTCTAGATGAAGATCAGTGTTTACACAAATATTTTAAATAAATGTACTGGGATATTAAGTCACCAATTAAAGTAATTGTCAACTACAAAGAACTATGCAAAAAGTTGATAAAAATAAAATCATGTGATTTGCAAATGGATGGTAAAATGTTTAATCTGCATTTACAGTTACAGCAATGTCCAACAGGAGTACAAATTTTTAAAAAATGCATCATAATGATATGTCGTGTCCTAATGCTTGAAGGAAGAACAGCTCTATGTACAATTAGAATAATAACAGGAAAAGGGAGAGAGAGAGGTTCTGAGAATTCATACTTAGGTATGGTAACATGTTAAGACTATGAAATGAAAAAGCAGTGAGAATAGCATCACAGAAGGTTGACTTAGTTCCCATGTATAAAACTGTAGATAGAGAAAAGAAAGTAAAGTCTTACTATTAAGTTATCATTAGGGATATTAATTTTATAAAGGAATTTAATTTTTGACCAAAGACTTTGTTTTCTCTTCAGACATAAACCCAAAAAACCTAAATACTAAAATGATACTTAGCAGACACAGGCTTTATCTCTAAAAAAGTGTTACACCACCATTTCACTGGGAAATGTTTAATGTACTGGAGAAAATACCAAAATGGGAATCAGAATTGGGTTTTGTTTCCCTATTACTTTGATCTTCTAAACAAACTTGACACCACCAGAAAGCAGAAATGGAGAACACATTTCATCCATGGGTCAGATTGTAAAAAATTCTTTAAATGAAAATTATAAGAATTTCTTATAGACTATATTTTAGCACATGTCTTAAAATAATGACCAAAAGAACCATATTTATTTTCCAGGGTAAGTACAATTTGATCCTCATTACTATAAAGCAGATCTATTAAGTGATAAGTGGCCCACGAAGAGGAAGTTAAAGCTTTTATAGCTCTGCTATTTAAATTCAAGTTGAAGTCCTATAATGCAAGGGGAAGGTCTGCAATCACTACAGTGTGTTGATATCTAGGTCCTTAATTTTCAGGTTGACTTAAACCCTAAATCCTTACTTAGCCTCCTCTTTACCTGGCTCCTCAGCAATCATTCTGCTTTCATAATAAAAAACAAAATACATTTGACTGTACAGGAAGCCCTCTAAATCCCTGTGTTCCACATCTTCGAATTCAGCCAACCTCAGATTGAAAACATTAACAAAACAACATAATTTTATTTATATAGCATTTACATTGTATTAGATTATTATAAGTAATCTAGAGATGATTTAAAGTCTACAAGAGGGTTAGGGGTAGGGTATATGTAAAATGCCACACTATTTTACATAAGGGACTCAAGCATACAAGAATTTTGATATCCATGGGAGATTCTAGAACTGATTCCCAGCAGATACTGAGGGATGACTGTACTTTAAACTCTTCAACCAACTTTAATGACCAGTTTTTAATTGCAATTTGGTATGTCTGACCTGACACTTAAAAACCATGTAATAATCTCCACAAAGACAACACCTTTATGAACATGTGGAAAGAATGTAAGGTGTTCAAAGGAAATAGTAACATTTTTACAGATTTGTCTGTTATGTAAATGAATCCCTTGGAAGGTTATATCTCATCAGTCTGCAATATTCATACATAATTCAAAGCTACAGAAGCAATCTCCTGTGGGAAGCTCACTTGGCTTACCCAGGTGGTAGGATTAATCATTGCACCATCAAATGAAATCATCCTTTTTTTTTTTTCCTGGCAAATTTGTTTAAGACAGATTTTTATAAAAATTCTGTTAAACGTCTGCATGTACTTTTTAAAAAGGCAAGTCAAATTCCACGTTAG